CATACGTCCATTAAAATAACGACCTCCACCTTGCTCGCAGTTGCACGCTGTTGATTAGCAAGTCTTCAACTTCTCGTAAGATTTGGATTAGGATTGAAAACAAACGCAGAGTACTGTTTTAAAAAAGTCAAAACTAACATTTCACGGCGGTTCACATTATATTAATCGACACGTATCCTTACTTTCTAATTTCACCGCTCGAAACATGCTATACATGGAATCTAATAGAGTATCATTTTATATTTGCACTTTTTGTAAATTTAAAATTATATATATTGACTAAGTAAAAATTAAGCTCAGTCTTATATAATATTTTTGAACATTTAACTTTTTTCTTGATTTATTACTAGATACGGAGTATAAAATACTTTTTCATGTCTAGGCTTCGCTTATTCCTACCTAGACTTCAAAGGCTCAAGGCTTGGTCTTAACGCCTACCACGCCTCACGTATTTTGGAACACTTTCTTGATATAAGTAAAAATGTTTGTGAATTCCAGAATAAGATTGACATGTTTTATTCTCTTAATATGAATAATGACTATTAAATTTTACATTACTGTCTTTAAACATGATAGTATTTTCTATTAGATAAAAACATGACAGACCTATTTAAAATTGTAAAATGTTTTTACGATTTAAATTATAGTAATTGCTCTATATAAGACTAAAAATAATCTAAAATGCACAAATAGGACCACTACATTTTTAACCATCTCAAATAAGACTAAACAATTCATTCCTACCATAAATGCCCTTAAGGGTATTATTTCATAACAAAAGTTATAATTCATAATAAAATCTTAAAAAATAATAAAAATCATACTTTTTTTAAAAGCGCACAAAAAGAATAATAAAAAAGTATTTTTAAAATAAAATTTAAAAATAATTTTTTTGAGTTTTTTGAAAAAAACATAATAAAAATTAGTTAAAATCCAGGAAAAATTTTAAAAAATTATGGATACCTTTCCCACCGCCTCCCAGCACCACCACCTTCGATCGGTAAAAATTCTGTCACTTTTTATTAAAAAAATTCCATTTTTTCCAAAAATGCCAAGAAAATAGCATAATTACTCTTCATAATGCCAAATTCTCATTGAATCTGCCATTATTATGGCATTACTAAAATTGTTGGCAGTTTTTTTAATTAAATTAATAGAAAATAGTGAAAACCCATAAAAATAAAAAAGAATGGATAACTCTGATCGGTGAAAATTTTGCCATTATTTGTAAAAAATGTCATTGTTTTCTTAAAATGCCAAGAATATGACATTATTACTCATCATAATGCCAAAATTCTCATTGAATCTGCCATTATTATGACATTACTAAAAATGTTGCAGATTTCCAACCAGTGATGGGAGCTGATGGTGCTGGGGGTGGCAGAGGTGGCGGCGTTTTTTTTACATTTTTTTTAAATTTTTAATTTTATTTTTTAAAAAAATATTTTTTATTTTATAAATATTTCGTAAATTTTTTATAATTTTTGACGTATTTTTATGTTTTTTGTTATTTTTTTATGATTTTATTATTAATTAAAATATTTCAAACACCTCAATGGTATATTTGTCCAACTACACATAAATAGTCCTACTAGGAGGAATTAAAAACATGCAGTACTATTTATGCTCTTGATCCACTTTTTGACCTATTTAGAGAATTAACTCTTTAAATTAAAACACAAATGCTCAATGTTTTTTTCGACGCCTGAAATCACATTCCGCTAGCTAAAACCAATTTTGTTCACCCCCTCCTTGGAGGGTGAACATCACCCCCATAGTTCAAATATTGCCATTTGGCATTTCATTTCTTTTTTTGCCACATGGCAAGCAAATAGGGAGGGGGGTTATGTTCACCCTACAAGGAGGGGTGAACAAAATTGCACTCCCGCTAGCTCACTTCTGCAAACATAATTTTCCCAACTTTGATGGGTTTCAACTTTCAATCAGCCTTTGGATATTGTGTCATCTTTGTTTCTTCCTCGAATTATCGTGGCTCAGTCTCACTTGCCTTCCACAGATCTTTTATCCAGATTTAGGACAAACCCATGCACGCTAAAATTTGCTCTGTCACTACCCATTGTCAGAAAGTTAATTTAGGAATTCTTTCTTTATCTAATACTCCCTCCCGTAATGGTTGTCCACTTTCAATTTGGCACGATTATTAATAAAGTGGTTGAAAGGTAAAAAGTTGTGATTGAAATTTGAGTAGAATAAAGTGAATTAATAAGAACCACATATTTCATGCCAAAAAAGGAAACAAGACATTCATTTTGGGACAACCCAAAAAGGAAAGTAGGACAACCAAAATGGGACGGAGGGAGTACTAAGTACGTAGTATACTACTCCGCAGTTACAAGTTAATTAGGGAGTGAGAGTAGCAGAAACACAATAGTAAACGTTCTCGACCGTTCATTTAAAAATTCAAATAATTAATTGTGTTGTGAATCTTAAGGCAGCTACTAAACAAGATGCTAGAAGAAATAGGGAGTTAGTTTCATAAATCAAAATAATAATAAGCAATGAAATTATGATTTGTTTACACGTGAATCAAGAGGGTTATGATGCTCTTTCATCACGGGCTACAACAGCCAATTAAGTAGATGTACAAATTGTATTATTATTGCTGTTATTAATCATATAAAGGTTTGCAGTGGTCCAGCTCTTAGTAGTGGTTGAAGCTTGCCTGGCCTTCCATGGACTATTTCTTGGATTTTACTCATTATTATTATTATTAGGAGCAAGATATATACGAAGTATAATCAACATTGGTTCCTCGAGATTGGGGAATTAAGATGTACAAAATCCCTTTGTAGAGATTAAGATTTCTGAAAATATTTGGTAGTTTGGTACTCATAAAATATCAAAAGTTTTTGGTGCGTTATCATTCTCGAATATTTGGTAGTCATTAAATATCGAAAGTTTTTGGTGCATATTCAATCTCCCAACATGATCAACAAAATAAGTCCAATCCAAGGTAAGATCATAGCTAGATACCAACCCGATTTATTTATCGACTACCTTTCACATTATTTTTGATAAGATCGCTAATTTGGTAACGGTACAGACAGGCACTTCGAGAGGCCTTAACTCTCCCAGATCCCAATTCTTTTCTGGGGAGATCCCAATTCTTTCTCAATTCCCCCGACTCCTTTTCCCTTCTCCCATCCTACTATTTATTCTATTCCCAAAGCCCATTACATCCCAGTCCACTTATTATTTGGGCCAAGCCCACTTACTTCCTACGGCTTATTTCTATTAATTCCCTTGCCATCTCAGGTTCGTATCAATTTTCCTGTCCTAGTTTTGGAAGGGGAAGAGAGAACAAACAGTATTCGTTATAAAATGATCGTAATTATTAAAATCTATAGTAAAGAAGTATTAAAAGGGGGTAACACAGAGAACTAAAACCCCAATCACAACAGCTCATCCATTACACCAACTCCATTAGCTATGTAAATGGTCGATTCTAAAGCAATAATTCTACTGTGAATAGGTTGACAAACACCTAGTAAAGGGATTTTGTGATTACATGTCTATTCCACTAAAGTCGGTAGTTTATGAAAACTGCGGTTTGACTGTCCACCGGTAAGGAAAGTATGGGGAGAATTCTCGAAATAGGAGCAAAACGTTTTGAAATTTCAAAATACGATTATCATATTTTTTATTCTCTGAATAGGAGTAAATTTCTGCCAAGTCTGGCATTACTAGACTTTAAAATGACATTTTTTTTCCAAACTTGGCAGATTACTCCTATTCAGGAAAAAAAACATGATAGTCTTATTTTGAAATTTTAAAATGTTTTTACTCCCATTTAGGGCAATTTATGTATGTTTCATCACTATTACCTGAAATTTACTCGAACGGCACAGTGATGGGATAAAAACATTGCTAGGGACATAAGGTCATCACAAACTAAGGTTTTTTTGCAGAGCATTCCTATTGCTAATGAGATCTCTATATAAACACGAATTATGATGGGAAAACGTTTATTTTTTAAACCCTTTTGTGAAAGGGAAGAAACCTTGTGGACAAGGGCAGGGTGGTTGTTAATTACGTCTCTTTGGGTGGAAGTGTGGAATCCATTTTTTTTAATGTGGACATCATTACAGTGTCCAAGGGTTGCAAAAAAAGTTCACGCTTTGCCACTTCAGGTTAAAACCATTGCAGAAGCATTGTCTGTGGGCACTGCTGGATCCTCTTTCCATTTCCAAACTTTGTCTCTTTTGGAAATGAATATGTGGTCAGTGCACCCTTGCCATTCATTCAAAAGAATTTGAATGAATGGTTGCAATTAATGAAATGTGTTTGGTAAGAACTATTTCAGCTAAATAAGTACTCCCTCTGTCCCCTTTTAAATATCCCGTTTTACCATATTGAGATGTCCCTATTTAATTGTCTCATATCTTATTTGGTAAAGTTTGTGTGGCTTAAAATCATTCTTACTTTATTCTTACTTTCTCAATTAATATCAACCACGCAAACCCACTTTTCTTAAAACTCGTGTCACCTTCTTCCGTGACATTTAAAAGGGGACGGAGGGAGTAAATCAAAAGCTACTTAACCTACTAATATCCAAAACTAAGAAGTTGTACCAGCAATCAGAGTACCGTGTATCATGGCTGGCTGTTAGATCCTAAATCTCTTTCTAAAATTATAAGAATTTTTTAATTAAACTAGGGATAAGGGTCAGATAGGGCCTCGAACTTGGGAAAAAATGTCAAATAAGGCCATATTTAGGATGCTATGTCCGGCTGACGCCATTTGGGGCGGTTCCCGGTGGAATTTTTTGATGAAATTTTTTGAGAATCTTATTCATTAAGTCTAGTTTACTCATATCAAATTTAAACTAACAATTCAATCGGGAAGGCATTCAAATGAATGTTTGAAGATAACTGTGCTTTTAACTGCACAGTTATCTTCAAGAATTCATTTGAATGCCTTCCTGATTGAAGTTTTAGTTCAAATTTGATATGAGTAAACTAGACTTGATGAATAAGATTCTCAAAAAAATTCATCAAAAAATTCCACCAGGAACTGCCCCAAATGGCATCGGCCGGACAGAGCATCCTAAATATGGCCTTATTTGACATTTTTTTTCAAGTTCGAGGCCCTATCTGACCCTTATCCCATTAAACTATAATCTAACATAAAGGCTACCAGCCAAGCAGAGCCTAAAAGTGCAGAAGAAGAAAACAACGAACATTATGAGGAATCCGAGTGTTGGGAATGCAAAGCGGCTAGGAAAACAGCCCCCGCACCAGAACCGCCATGAGAGTGTTCGAGTATTACATTGTCAGAGAGCTCGTCGCCAAGCAATTCCCATACTGTGCTGTTGAGATAGCTGCGGAAGACCCGATAATGCTCATATAGTCCACCGTCTACGGTAACTATGCTTATTCTGTTTTTAAGTCTCTCCAGTTTGTTTAATATTCCAATAATCCCGGCCCCAACTAGCCGAGCTCCACGCTGAGCAACTATGTCACATATGTCTGATACTATTTCCCTTGAAATTGGAGTGGAGGCGGTTATCTGAAATCAGGAGAATCATGTAAAAATCACTCAGAGATTTTAGAAAGAGACCTATGAGTATAAAACTTTGACTAAGACTATTCCAATCAAACTGAGAAAATAAGGGTTTACCTCAAAAATCTCTTTCAGTTTTTCATTGATCACTTCGTAGTCCTCCGACATGTCCTGATGCATTGCAGCCATATCAGGTGAGCTGTAAGAAACCATACTCAGACTTTTGCTACGAAATATGGCTGATAAACTAGAAAAAACAAGCTACTAAACAGGCCTTCAGAAAAGAAATAAAAAAATATCAAATGAAACACACAATTGTACCTCAACAGGTATGGAGTTGCTAGCTTAGGTGGCACAGGGTCACCAAATAAACATGTCTCTTGAGCTATCTTCAGCAACACTCTTCTAACAATCTCTCCTAAATACATGCCTGAAATCAGCTTCTCCAATCTCTGGAACCAAAATGTTTAAAAATGATTGATATGATCACATATATATTGGAAGGCAAAACAGAAAACCATTACAGAAATAATCTCACCCTGCAACCAGGATTTGAACTTTCAGTGTCTAAAGAAGCATCAAACTCTGTAATGGGGAGATTACTTGAATAGAAGTTTCCCCATTGCATATCAACAACCTGCGAACGGCAGTTTAAAACTTCGCATTAACAACTGGTCAACATTTTTATTCTTTATTCATAGCTAAGAGTCACTGGAAATTCTAAATTAACAATAGTTTAACGCAAAACTTATGAGTTTTTTTTTAATTTTAATTTCATCCATACCATGTAGAACAAACATGTCAATTCATCTTTTATTCGCAAGTCTTTCACATCGTATCATATCATATGACTACCAAACGGCCAAACCATTCTTTTTCAAGAAAATAAAAACAAATCCAACCATAGAATGTACTACTATTATATTTGGAGGAACTCACAATTTCACTAGATTGATGAGGCTTGCCAGGCCAGTTTTCTGCTGCATTAGATGATTCTACATAAGCCGCATTGGTGCTCATTCCTAGGGTGACAGCTGTCACACTTTCTCGACTGTAGTATCTTCCTCCCGCTAAAACTCCAATTGTGTCATCAACCTGTACAATTTTAAAAAAGAGTTGTCCCAAAGTTGCATGCAGTTAGCTTAACGTGAAATTAGGAATGTTAAAACATACTCCGTACTTGGAAACTTACCAATGCAAGAACTCGCATTTCCACACCATGCTTTTCCAAACATTCATTGATTTCATTCACATACACTTCCTTTGCCTGGCAATTTCATTCAAAGTCAGCTAAGTCGTACTTTATAGGTTCTGATACATTCAATGCAAAGAGTCCTAGGTTCTCTTTAAACCTAGGTTCTTGTCACAAGATTAAAAAATTAGGTGAACCTAGAATTAATCCTAGAAGAACCAGGGTTCACCTCGAATATAGGGGACTATAAAACTACAGAACGTACCATCAGAATTAAATGGAGAAGTTCTTATAAGTCTACATTGGTAAGCTCTTGAAGTGCTAAACTGATTTTCTCTTCAACTTTATCGTGACACGCAGACATTCTATTTTTGCTCATTGGATTTTAGGTTGAAGATATCATAACCTGTGTGATTCTACTCTCTGTTCTTGGTTCTATATATACACATCATTAGTTAGAAAGAATATCATAGAGAAACAATTGAAAGATAAAAATGGTGTTGTAATCAAATTTCACAATGAATCATACAGTGTATATGAATGGCAAGACTATATAAGTATTAGCATGTTTGTTCTGTGCATTATTGAATAAGTACATTAATAGTTAGATAATAACACAAAGTTGTCATTGGTGAGTTGGTTAAACAGTGCAATAACACTCTTTGTACCATTGGGCATGGGTTCGATACCTGGCGACGCTTTTTTTTAAGTTTTAAACAAAAAACTTGTTTATTCTTCTTATATTCGTTGTTCCCACACCGGAGGAGCTTTCCGAAAATTTCCTCCTCCCATGCTGTTTAATGTTAGCTTCACTTGCTTATCATAAAGAATATGATAAAGAATATCATAGGTAGGTTTATTTTGTTTAATGTTATGACTTATACATATTAAATCTATTTTTGTTTAATGTTATGACTTATGAGATCTGTAATTCAGTTTTATTATAGTACCAAAATATAAGGTGCAGCGTACGGAATGAACCTACCCCCCTCCGAACCGGATACGCTAGACCTAACGAACCGCGTACCCTATCCTTTTTCCCGTGCCGAAGCGTTCTGCGAACTATGTGACTATGATCAGGACAAAACTAAGTCTAATTTGCATAGTTGAGGATGAAATTGAGCATGAGTGTATAATCCAGCTTTGACACAAAGCGATAGACTTAGATCCAATTTAGTCCTACGAGAATCCTTCTTAGTTAGAGAGAAAGATGTGTGCAGGTCTAAATTGCAGGTTTCACTACCAACATCAGTACAATAGAAAAACGTTATCATCGAGCAGTGAAGCAACGCAATCGACTGAAATAAGCTATGAGTAGTAAACTAACATACTCACATGAATTGTACTAAATAGCATTAATTATTAGATATTATATTTAGTGTGTGGGTGGTAGGGTGTGTGGAGTGGGGGAGGGGTAAAACCTGAATTATGTCATCGATGGATGAACAATTCAATTTTATGGCAGCATCCATTGAGGCTGAAGATTCGACCACCGGAAGCTGTGATATGGTGAATCCAAGTATTCTTTGTCCTCCTTGCAAATTCTTTGTGCTCTCCCCCCGCATTGTGATAAATTTCGCTAGCTCCAGACCAATCAAGTCAAATAAATCCTTAAAAAAACACATAATTAAGGGTGGGGTTGTAAAATAGAAAATTTAGTGCTCAGAGGTTTTTTTTGATGGAAAATATCACAATACCTTTGAAGTCCCATTGATTACATCTTGAGGAATAGAAATTTCGTGTCTGGACAATTCTGTAACGGGTTCATTCTTACCCTCAAGTTTTGCTTGCAAAATTAAAAAATTGTCTCCCCGGAGATTTATCCCGTAATGTAATCCTTTCTCCTCCCTACAACCACAAGACAAGCCCAATAAAGAGTAAATAATGGGCAAATCATTAGTATAATCCTTTAACAAAGTCATGAAAATATTATTACTGATATCTAGACTCTCAAGAATAAATAAATTGGACTGTTATAACTTCTACTCCCTCCGTCCCATAGAGAGGTTACCGATTTAGTTTACGATGCTTGACTGACGAAGTAACGATAAAGTAACTTGATCCCTGTTCACACTCTTATTGTTTTTAATAAATAAAATTTATATATTCACAAACTACATTAAAAATTTGACAAAGCCTGATCAAGAAAATTTAAATTTGATAAAAATTTGACATATAAAGAAAAAGATTAAGAATGATTTAAGTTGACCATGTGAATAGTGGTTTGGAACCTTTGAATGGGACGGATGTAGTATCTTTTATTGGGGCTTTATGTAAATACTTACTAATAAGTTGTGACTTGTAATATTTCATTAAATGTCTTTGTATATATACTGTAAAATAGATAGTTGATGTAATTCATACAATTCAATTCTTATTCAATGATCTTTCTATTCCTTTATTGGGGCTTTATGTAAATACTTACTAATAAGTTGTGACTTGTAATATTTCATTAAATGTCTTTGTATATATACTGTAAAATAGATGATGTAATTCATACAATTCAATTCTTATTCAACGATCTTTTTCTATTCCAGAGCTCTGAATCATCATCTTCAATGCCAATTTACATTTCTTAATTCCATATTTCTACATGGTATCAGATTAGCCTTCAGGCTTCAACGATCCGTATTGATCTGCAATTCTTCCGCTTTCATCAATTTTTCGCTGACTCAATTGATTAAACCAAATCCTAATATCTCATGGATCCGAATCGGAATACTTTGAGCCCCACGGAAGATCCTGCTTCTCTTTATTTTTTTCATCCAAGCAATCACTCAGGCATCTGAATTATCTACGAGACCTTCACAGGGGATAATTTCAATGCTTGGAAGAAGTCTGTTGTTATGGCGCTCACGGTCAAGAACAAGATGGGGTTTCTGGATGGTTCTGTTCCTCAACCTCCAACAGATGATCCGATTCACTACTCATCTTGGTATCATATTAGTGCTCTTCTCCTTTCTTGGTTGGTTTATTCCATCTGTCCTGAGATTCGCTCTACTTTTCTCTATTTTACTAATGCCAAAGAACTCTGGGATGAGATCAAACTTTGCTATGGCAAAAGTGACGGACCTAGGGTTTTTCATCTAGAAAAGACTCTAAGTAACATTTCTCAAGGCACTCAAACCATCACTGCTTACTACAATCTTTTCTAAGGTTTATGGGATGAATACTCAAATTATAGGCTTCTCCCTTCTTGTAGCTGTGGTCATTGCACCTGCAACATCAATGAAGTTTATTAAGAACTACTTCAAAAGGATTCCGTAATGAAATTCCTTATTGGTTTAAATGAATCTTCTTCAAATCTGAGAAGTCAGATTCTTCTTAAAAGACCTCTTCTGAACTTGTCACAAGTTTATACTTTTCTTCTTCAAGAAGAATCTCAAAGATACCTTCAGAATACTTATGTTTCTGTTCCGATCCTATTATCCTCAATGATCAAATCTCAAATTCTGATAAACCTTCTCATGATTCTGCTGCTTTTCTGGCCAAATATAACCCTTCTAAAAAGAAAAATACTATCACTTGTACTCACTGTGGTTATCAAGGCCATTCTGCTGAAAAATGTTACCAAATCATTGGCTATCCTACCAACTGGAAAGGACCTTAAGGCAAAAAGGTTTGCCCCTGGTTTTAAGCCATCTCGTTTTTCGACAAAAACTCATCAAGCTTATTTGGCTAATACTTCTAATGAAACTGATTCTACTGATATGGACTTTTGTGACCCTGAGCTGTATACCAAGTTCTTGCAGTTTATGATAACTCAAAACACTAAGAATGCTTCTGCTCATATTGCTATGGTTGTTGATACTGATGTTCCATCCACTTCCAATGCTTCCTGCCAATTTCTAGGAAATCATTTTGCTCTTACTATTTTTAAAAAACCACCTACCTGGATCATTGAGACTGGTGCCTCTGATCACATGATTCATGACGCTTCCTTATATACTTCTGTTACAAAACTTCAATCTATAAACATTCAATTACCAACTGAAAATTTCATTTTAGCCACTCATATTGGAGATGTACGACTAAATGATAATCTTACTTTACACAATGTTTTATATGTTCCTAATTTCAGTTTTAATCTCATTTCAGTTTCTAGTTTAACATTACATGAGAACATTTCTATTCATTTTACCTCTAACCATGCTATCTTGCAGGACCTCCATACCAACAAAATGATGGCTCTGATGATATTCGAAATGGATTGTATCTTTAGTTCTTTACAAAATGATGTTTGTAGCCAACATCATACTTCTACTTCTACTATTTGGCATTTTAGACTAGGTCATTTACCTTATAAGAAACTCCAATTGGTGATAGACTGTAATACTTCTAATAATGAAAATAAAGTTAGTCCTTGTGACATTTGTCATTTCGCTAAACAAAAAAGATTGCATTTTCTTAATAGTGACTCTCATGCTTCTAATGCCTTCGATTTAGTTCACATGGATGTTTGGGCTCCCCTTAAAGTTGTCTCTTACTCTGGATTTAGATATTTTTTTAACCATTGTTGATGATCATACACGTACTTGGGTTTTTATGCTAAAAGCTAAATCTGAAGTCAAATTTCACATGCTCAATTTTTACAAACTGGTTGAAACCAAATTTCATAAGAAAATTAAAATTATAAGATCTGATAATGGAACAGAATTTACATTCTCTTGACATAGGTATATCTAAATCCTCTTGTAATCTTGTGAGATACCCTATTCAAAACTACATAACCTGCACTAGATTAAACTCTCATCATCATTGTGTTCAGCTACTCTTTCAAAAATAACTGAACCTAAAACCTTTAAACAAGCTATTAAAATTCCTGCATGGCAGAAAGCTATGAATGATGAGATTAAAGCTCTTGAAATTAACAAAGCCTGGATTTTAGTTAGTTTACCTCCTAATCAACACACAATAGGTTGTAAATGGGTTTTTAAAACAAAATTTAAATTCTGATGGATCTTTAGATAGATATAAAGCAATATTAGTTGCTAAAGGATATACCCAAGAGGAAGGACTTAATTACTTTGATACTTTCTCTCCTGTAGTAAAATTGACAACTGTTAGAGTTCTTTTGGCTATTGCTTCTGCAAAAAACTGGTTCAATTAGATATATTAATAATGCTTGTTTACATGGTGATTTAAATGAGGATGTATGTATATATATATATATATATATACACACACATATATATATATACACACACACACACACATATATATATGCAGCCTCCACCAGGTTATTTACCCTCTAATGACACTAGAGTTTGTGAACTTACCAAAAGTTTGTATGGCTTAAAACAAGCCTCTAGACAATAGTATTATAAACTTTCTGAATCCCTGAAAACTCTTGGTTATAAACAATCACAAGCTGATTTCTCATTGTTTACTAAAACCACTTCTAATTCTTTCACTGTTATTTTATTATATGTTGATGATCTGATTCTTGCAGGAAATTGTATCAATGAAATTTCTGCAGTAAAGTCTTACTTGCACAATAAGTTTACTATAAAAGACCTTGGAAAACTTAAATATATTTTAGGTATAGAAATAGCTAGATCTACAAAAGGTATTTCTTTATGTCAAAGAAAATATACCCTTGATATTCTTTCTGATGCAGGATACCTTAATTCCAAACCTTATATGACTCCAATGGATTCCAAACTCAAACTATCTAAAAATGATGGAATTTTATTAAGTGTCCCAAAATCTTATAGAACTTTAATTGGAAGATTACTTTACCTTACTATTACAAGACTTGATATAGCATATAGTGTACAAACCCTTGGTCAGTCTTGCTAATCCTACTAATATCCATATGAGTAGATCTTCGCCTATTATCATTTATACTGATAACAAATCCACTTATCATCTTGCATATAATCCTACCCAACATCAAAGAACAAAATATATTGAATTGGACTGTCATTTAATAAGAGAAAAGATTGCAGCGGGTCTTATTACTCTCACTCATATTAAAAATACTTTTCAGATTGCAGATATATATACCAAAGCTCTTGGAAATCCATTACTCAGTCAATTTACAGCCAAGATGAACATGTTAGATAGACATGCTCATCTTGAGGGGGCGCGTCTAAAAAATTATTAAATTGGACTGTGTTATAAACTTCTATCTTTTATTGGGGCTTTAAGTAAATACTTACTAATTAGTTGTGACTTGTAATATTTCATTGAATGTCTTTGTATATAGACTGTAAAATAGATAGTTGGTGTAATTTATTCAATTCAATTCTTATTCAACGATCTTTCTATTCCAGAGCTCTGAATCATCTTCAATGTCAATTTACATTTCTTGATTCCATATTTCTACACAGACTATTATGGAAAAGATTATGTACCCAGTAGGAAGTGATGCGACCTCGCAAGGAAGCATTTGTAAGCTGCTGCATTTCTGATTGGAAGAAGACAGGGCGTTCTGCATTTCAGAAACGACGTCGTCAGCAATAGCACGAAGCTTGTGAACGGGAGTGGCGCAGTCCCTAGCGAATTTCCGGATAATCCGTTGCGCTTGCCTCCGCCGCCGCTCGCTCTGTCGCTTCAAGCTCCGCACGGAAAGCGTTAAAGCGACGACGGTGGAAACGGTCGTCAGCGCAGCCAAAACCAGCACCACCTTCCTCGTCTCCATCTCTTTCTTTTTCTCCTACTTCCTTTCTATTTGATTTCGTTTCTTGGTCCAAATTGTCTCGTCTTCTTCCCATTCTGAGCAGATGGATTGAAACTCTCATGGTGAACGGAAATGCGATATTTCTGCACAGCTGAACGTGTTTCACGGTGAACACGAACAACGTGGAATCGGGCATGCGCTTCCATTTATTCTCATGGGCCATATATAGTTAAATACCCCGTAACTGATTGGGCGGAACGAGTAGGCTGTTCGTAAGCTTGGTCCATCAAACTATTGGGATTTGGGGCAGATTCACTGACAAATGTAAACTATGGGCCAAGAGGGTTAGTGACTCGTATTAGGTTTTACTACGAATCTTGGTTGTATAACAAGAAAATGACAAATCTCAAGTAAATTGTAATAACATTGACAATTTATATTCTGGTTTTATACTTCTTATGAATGCATTTTTGAGGATATACAAAATATATATTTTGAAGAGCAGTTTCACTCTTTGGATTCGTTTGGGGATTTTCATAGTGATGCGGTAAGTAAAGTTCATTTAGTATGAATTCATAAAATGAATTTATTTGTTTACTGAAGTGGAAGGGGGTGAAGAGAATGAGTGTGAAACTGTTCAAAGAGAGGATATTTGTAGTGGTGGTTCTTCAAGTGATGAAGAATGGATTGGTAGTAGAAAAAAGCTGAGCTGCTACAATTCGAATCTGCTTGCTGAAAATCAATGTGATGGATTTGAACCATTTTATGATAGTGATAATTCTGAAAATTATTTGCTCACACCAACTAGAAGTGAGGATGAAGGTGAGATTGGTGCGAAGGAGAGTGTTACATACGGAGTTGATAATGATGCTACACTCAAAATGTTAGTATGGAAAGTGGGAATGAAGTTTGCTTCACCTGAAATTTTCAAAAAACAAGTTGTGAGGTATGCTATAATTGCAGGGTATAGCATTAGGTTTAGTAAAAGTGAAAAGGTGAAGATTGCAGCCAGATGTAAAGAGGGCTGTGTCTGGAGAATATACGCTTCTTGGGACGGACTTAAAGAGTCATTCGTTGTGAAGTCTTTGAATCTTAACCATACGTGCAATAGACAAGATTATGAGAATATACATGCTAAACCTAGTTGGTCAATCAGTGTATTGCAGATCAGTGTTAGTTGTGTTTTTGTGAAGGTCAATGTTGGTTCTTTTTTTGCAAACTACTGCTACATCTTTTTACATCAGTGCATGACATTTTTTGTAAAGGTCATGTAAAGGTCATTTTCTGTATAGGCCAGTGAAACCATTTGTTGCTTCATTTTGTTCCTTATTTCTCCTTATGTAGTCAGGTCTGATGTTCTTATTACTCATTTTGTTCCATATACAATTCAATTATATATATTGTTGTATGAGGTTTCTAATAAATTGGATAAGTAGTGAGTGAGTATAAACTGATTGTCATTCTATGCACCAGTGTTGTCAGTACTGATGCTTTGGACTTTTAAAGGTTATACTTACAGTCCAAATGCTTTGGACTTTTAGGATTCTCAAAGTAGAATTGACAACGTTCTTGTTTAGTGACAATGCAAGTTTGATAAACTTTACCTGTACGCTAATACAAGCTTGTTGGAATCAAAAGAAAAATGTATATTTTGTGGTTTTTCAAGTAACACATACATCCTGAATTTAAGGAGTGATTTGTAGTTGTAACATTACAAATATGCCTAGCATGTGCAAAATACCTGCTATTGCTCCCATCAATTTGATAGTGTTTGCACTCATCACCTTTACTATCACAAGTGGCTTGCTCTGCTTTCACTTCTTCGACTTGTTTCTGACTTTGAGAATTTCAGAGCATTAATAAGAGCATTTATAAATAGCGCATGCGTACAATGGGATATTGAGATAGATCGGATGCTAAATTGAGAATGGGGTATGAAATGCTAACTAATGTAGTGATAGGAGTTTCCCATTCTGAGGATGGATCAGAACTATGGTGGGATAAGTTGGCTTAGAATTACAACCAAAGCATTTTAGTTAACAAATGTATAGGCTACTGCACTATACTTACATTTTCAGTGAACTGATTCATCTTAGAATCAAAAGAAATATAAAATTTCAGAGCTGCACTATACTTAAAACTGTATAGGCTACTGCACTTTAGTTATATATAGGCTACTATAGTTATATACTGCACTGTACTGCACTTTAGTTATATATATAGGTGGGATCAGAGCTGCACTATAATCAAAAGAAATATATATTTCAGCACTTTAGTTAACAAATGTATAGGTTACTGCACTATACTTAACACTGTCATATACTTACATTTTCAGTTTAATGCATTAACAGTTTAATGCATAAGCTTAACAATGCACTATACATAAAATTTCAGAACTGATTTCAGAGCACTCTACTTTCCAGTTTATGCATAACAATATAAATTCATTGCCTGTAACTAATATCTAACAATGACAAATACATTTCTAAAATGACCATCTCATTCACTTTATTAACACAAAAAGATCAATTCAAATAAGTAAGTTTATACACTACAAATCAAGAGTTCCAAACCCAACTGGGGACATCCCCTTTACAAAAGAAATCATAAACTAACTAATGAATACACTACTTACAATGAATGAGACAATTACCACAAATACACCAACTAAAACAAATCTAAGTATCCAACAACTACAAATCTAGCTACTACACTTTCAATTTCTATCTTTGATACATATGTTCCTTTTTTCTTCTTCAACTTAGTTTGCAATATCAACAATTCAGTCTTCAATGCCTTCTTCTTCTCTTTAGCTTTTTCCATGTTCAGCTCAATCGTTTTTTTTCCTCTTGCCATGACAACTGCATATACCTTGAGCATTCATCCCAACTTTCTCTAGTTGCCAATTCTCCATGTGATGTCATGATTTTTTCCACTGTCAAACTTTAATTGTTTCACCTCCTCAACAAGTTCATCATTCTTCCTTTTCAAACAATTGATAACTTCTATAGCACGGGGGAGTATTCCTCTTTGTTAAACCACTCAAAATAGCGACAATAATTGACCTATAAATTTTAACATATACAACAGCTAAATGAAAACAAATATGAACAATTAACCCACTACTAAATGCAAATTTAACTCGTACCTTCCACTTAGAACACCTGTGAAATCTCCGACCATGATTCTTTCTTTCCGTCGATATAGTTTCGAGATTAGCAGGGAGCTTGTGATAACACCACTTTATATTTGAAGTCGAATCTCCTAATCCTCCACTCCCAAATGTCAAACTTCCGGTATGTGAAATTTGGCGCCGTCTTGTGCTATAGTCGATTGTCGCCGCTGCTTCATTCATGGTCGTCGCTGCAAGGTAGGGTTTCTTCAGACCTGGTGAAGTGGGAGTAAGGATGTTTTTACTTGGACAGTAATTTGTTGGTCTGGTCTGGTCTGAACTGGTCTGGTCTGGTCTGGTAAGGTCTGGTTTCTTTGTATTTTTATAATTATCCAAGTCTGGTCTGGTTTCTTTGTATTTTTATAATTATCCAAGTCTGGTCTGGTTTGGTCTGGTCTGGTCTGGTCTGAACTGGTCTGGTCTGGACTGGTCTGGGGCAAATTACAGTCCAAGTAAAAACATCCTAAGAAGAAAAGGCGTAATTGTGATACGAGAGACAGAGTGTTTCGCAGGAGGGTAGAGAGGGAGAATTTTGCCAACCTGGAATTTCTATCGCTAGCTGGATCGAGGATATGTCCTGTTAATTGTATGATGGGGTACTAAAAACTCATATAAATAAAGTAGGAGATATTTCATTCACACATAGAAGTTCAGGGTGAGGAAATCACACTTAATCAAAGTTCAAGGTATTTTATTTAATTTCCCCATAATATTATTAGGAAGCTTTTCTTCCTAATAATATTATATTTGTAATATATTCATTTCAAAACCTGTTCTTCGAATACTTAATTTTGAAAAAAATAGTAGCATCTCTCACAATAGAAGTATAAGAATAAGGATGTTTTTATTTGGACTATAATTTGTCCCAGACCAGACCAGACCAGACCAGACCAGATCAGACTTGGGTAGTTATAAAAATACAAAGAAACCAGACCAGACCAGACCAGACCAGATCAGACCAGGAAATTACAGTGCAAGTAAAAATATCCTAATATGAATCGAACTATAGAAGTGCACATTTCTCATATTTATACCTTCAGTGAATCAAAGAAAGAAAAATTCATTCAGTAGTTTTTACCTATAATGTAAAATAATAAATTATTTTCAAATAGTAGTAATCGAGATCCGTCAATTGAGTTTTCCTTATGCTTGTGAAGATTTTTGTCATTGTATTTAGAAATAATTCCAAATATATAACTAAAATAAAAGTAACGAACAAAAATGTGACCACGATAATTTTATTGACTGTAAGTGTATTCAAAAGTTAAACTATAGTGACTATAAACCTTATACATAGTAACTTACAGTCACATTTTTATGCATAAATCTTTTATTTGTCAAATTTTAGGAAAAAATTCTTATAATTATATTATGTGGGCTTATTTGTAGAAATCAATATTCAATATCATCATAATATAAAAACAATGAGAAATTGAAAGGTCTATATATGCTACGTTCGTAAGGCTAACCGCAACTCAGCCCGTCAATAAATCAAACCTAACACCAGTTTATATGTATTCACTCAGTCAATCCAATTTTTCTCTGCAACCCAGCACTGTCAATATATTCACTCAACAGATTCTTTTTTAGTTAAATCTTTACTTCTATTATTATACAATTTTTTTTCCAAATTCTATTTTTGCAAATAATTATGATTTAAAATATCAAACATTCCGATATAAAAATAAATAAATTTGGAGTGAAATTTTTAACCATGAGATCTATTTTTGAAAAATAATAATTGAGAGATGTAAAAAAATATTTTAACAATGAAATCTTAATTTTAACACTTGAATTGATTTGAGAAAAATGTTAGATCCACAAATCTTTAGCAGATGAAACTTTTCCTTTTTTATTTTTACATATCCAATATTGGTGTCATATGAAAGGTTATAAAAAGTTATGACTTTTGATATATTTTTTATACAAATTAGAGTATAATTAAAAAAGTTATAGCACTTTTAAAAAAAATATTAATTTCACATGGGTCCCATGTTGATTATTTCTCCTG